TGAGTTGGAATCTCACTCTGTCACCCAGACTGGAGTGCAATGGCCCCTCCCGGCCACTGCAACCTCGATCTGCTGGGCTCCAGCGATCCTTCCGTCTCAGCCTTCCGAGTAGCCGGAATTACAGGCGCGCGCTACCACGCCCGGCTAATTTTTTGATTTTATTGTAGAGATGAGGGCTCGCCTGCCCAGCCGGGTCTCGAATCTGCGGGCTCAGGCCATCCACTCACCTCAGCCTCCCAAAGGCGTGGGATTACAGGCTGAGCCACCAAGCCTGGCTTACTAAGAATATTATAGCTGAATGCAGTTTGTAATTTCTTCTTCTTTATTGAGGAATAATTGACACATAAAATCATATATATTTACACATTCAAGTTGATGTTTGATATATGTATACATTATGAAATGAATATGCAATTAAGCTAATTAATATATTCGTGAACTTAAATAGTTATCTTTTCTTGGTGAAGAACATTTAAGATATATGCTCTTAGCAATTTTCAAGTATACAATACATTGCCATTAACTGTAGTTACAATGCTATACAATAGATCTTGAGAATTTATTCAGCCTATGTAAGCAAAAGTTTGTACCCTTTGACCAAATCTCATTTTTTTCATCTCCTGGCTACCACCATTCTACTCTCTACTTCTATGAGTTTGACCTTCAAAAATTCCACATATAGTGAGATCATGGAGTTATTTGTCTTTTTGCACCTGGTTTATTTTGCTTAACACAATGTCCTTAGGCTCATCCATGTTGTCATAAATGACAAGATATCCTTCTTTCCTACAGCTGCATAATATTCCATAGTATATGTGTTTATAACATTTTATTTACCTATGACATTTATGATTCTAAATCTTGGCTATTGTAAATAATGCCACAATGAACATGGAAGTGCATATACCCAAAAGTGGCATCATACAGTGGTTCTATTTTTAATTTTCTGAGAAATCTCCATACTGTTTTCCATAATGTCTGTATTAATTTACATTCCCATCAACAGTGTAAAATGATTTCCTTTTCTCCACCTCCTTGCCAGTACTTATCTTGTATTTTTGATTATAGCCATTTTAACAGGTGTGAGGTGACATCTCATTTTGGTTTTAATTTTCATTTCTCTAATGGTTTGTGATATTAAGCATTTTTTTCATGTATCTGTTGGTCATTTGTATGTCTTCTCTAGGAAAGTTCTATTCAGGTCCTTTGCCTGTTTTAAAAATTGGGTTATTTGTTTTCTTGCTATTAAGTTGTTTGAATTCCTTATATGTACTGGATATTAATCACTTATCAGATTGTGGTTTGCAAATATTTTCCTTTATCTTGTAGGTTGTCTCTTCACTCTGTTATTTCCTTTGTTGTGCATGAGATTTTTAGCTTGATGCAATTTCATTGGTCCATTTCTTCATGTTGCCTGTGCTTTGGGGTCCTATTCAAAAAATTATTGCCCAGATTAATTACAAGACTTTTTTCCCCCTATGTTTACTTCTAGTGCTTTAAAGTTTCTGGTCTTATACTTAAATCTTTAATCAATTTTGAGTTAATTTTTGTATATCATTTGAGATAAGGGCCCAAATTCATTTTTTGGCATGTGGATATCCAGTTGTCTCAACACTAATGAAAAGACTATCCTTTCTCCATTTTGTGTTCTTTGAAGCATTGGCAAAGATTAATTGACTGTAAATATGTGGATTTATTTCTGGACTTTCTTTTTTTTTGAGAAAGCAGAATTTATCGAGAGGACAGAAAACTCCCCTCAGTGGGAGGGGACCCAAAGGGGTTGCCCCTATTTCTGGACTTTCTATTCTGTTTTATTGGCCTAAATGTTTTAATTACTATATCTTTGTAGTATATTTTGAAGTTAGGTATTGTGAAACCTTCAGTTTTGTTGGCTATTCAGGGTCTTTTGTGGCTCCATATACATTTCAGAGGTTTTTTTTCCAGCTCATGGAAAAATGGCATTGGAATTTTGATAAGGTTAACTGCCTTACAGCTTTTATTGTTTAGACTTTCAATTCCTTGTATAAATTTATTCCTAAATGTTTTATTCTTTTTGATACTATTATAAATTGGATTGTTTTCTTATTTTTTGTGGATAGTTCATTAATAATGTATAGAAATGCTGCAGATTTTAGTATGCTAATTTTTTATTCCCCAACTTTACTAAATTTATATTTTAGTTTTTATAGTTTTGGGGTGAAATCGTCAGGATTTTCTACATATGAGACTGTGTGATCTGTGATTAGAATCAATTTTACTTCTTCCTTTCCAACTTGAAAATCTTTTTTTCTCCCTTCCTTCCTTTCTTCACAATTATTCTGCCTAAAACCTCTAGTATTATGTTGACTAAAAGTGGTGAGGATAGGCATCATTGTCTTGTTCCTGATCTTGTAGCAAAAGTTTTCAACTTTTCACCATTAAGTATGATGTTGGCTATGGGCTTGTCATCTGTAAACTTTATTAAGTTGTAGTACATTCTTTATATACCTAATTTGTTGAGAGTTTTTATCATGAAAAGTTGTTCGATTTTTGTCAAGTGATTTTTCTCTCTATTATGATGATCACATACTTTTTATCCCTCATTCTGCTAA